TATTAAAAATATAAACGGGTTGGCGGGTCAACCCGTTTATTTTTTGAGAAACTCATATATGACCTGTTTAATAAACGGGTTGGCGGGTTCGCGGGTTAGCGGGTTGGCGTGTTGAAAAACTCAACCCAAACCCATTTATTTCGTGTCGTGTTGCGGGTCGTGTCGCGGGTCGTGTCGAAAATTGTCAGCCCTAAGGTGCACGAAATCGATTTTGAAAGAGTACTGGGTCGAGCTTTTAGGGATTTTGGGACAAAAAAGTATGAACTAGTATAACAAGCTTGTAAATAGTTCCTAAAGGTATTTTTTTATTTTTTTTCTAACTTTCTTGGTTTGTAACCGTTTTCAATTATCATGTAATATATATATATATATATATATATATATATATATATATATATATATATATATATATATTTCGAATAACTATATATTCAAATATTCAAGTTGTAGCAAGTAACTAGAACTTTTACCAAAGGGATTGTTCTAAAAAATAACTGAATTCATTTGCTTCCAAAACACCCACATTGTAGTCAAAATAATTACCTCAAGCCGCCTTTTGTTGATAGTCGACCACTTGGAGTCATTTACCCAAGAAAGCCATTCGATTATAAAACATGACGCAGGAAAGATGACATCACACAGACATGCTACACCACACCACACATCCATCAAAACTTGACATTGAAAAAAAACGATGATGAGTAGTCTCCACGCCCACATCGCAAATCGGACACATCAAGGATTCCAATTCAATGCCTTTCTTTGACAAGCTAGAACGAGGTGGGAGCATGTCAATGATTGGGAGCATGTCAATGATTAATCATCAAATAAGGATATTTATCTTCGTTAGGACTATTCTACACCACTTTGTACTACTATTATGATCAGTGTAACAGCCACCAAAATATAGAGTAAAATTTTCATTTTTACATAAATCAAACCAACCAAAAGTCTTTTCATAGAAAGATCATCATAGTTTCAAATGTAGTTTTGAAAAAGACATCAAAGTATCATAAAATGATAGTGCGGAAACTCCAGTGGATACGGTGTAATCGTCGTGCTCTTCCATGTTTTGATAAAATACCTGCAACAATTAAACTTAAAACCGTAAGCATGAAGCTTAGTGAGTCCCCAACGGTACCACGATACCAATACACGCCCCGCCCAATATACATAACGGGCCCTGCCCAACATGAATAATGGGACCCACCCAAAATGAATAACGGACCCTGACCAACTTGCATAACGGTCCCCGCCCAAATTGCATAATGGGCCCCGCCCAACTTGCATAATAGGACCCGCCCAATATGCATAACGGGCCCTGCCCAACATGCATAACATACATGCAAGAGTTACAAAGATAATCTAGCATTCTACATAGTATAATGAGAAGACTCACCCGAACTACGCAATAAAAGCCAACAACTACCTCACCAACGGAACAACTAACCCAAACTACCTAATGCCAAACCGAGACCATTCCTAACTAAAGTACTTGATTCTAACAAAGTTTGGACAAAAGTCAAAGTGTTTAAAAATTCAACGATCAATGGTCAAAGTCAATGGTTAACCATCCATCGACCACCATGGTGGGCCAACCCCCTTGGTCGCACCGTGGTCAATAGAGGACAAAACAAACGCGGGAACACAGACCATCACTCCGTGGTGAACGTCCTCAACAACTTATTCCATTAAGCTCTTAACCCTTGAGTTTAGAGTTCTAAAGCTCAAATCGATTACCCTCTGCATAGATAAAGTTCTCAACTTTATTTATTTCTTACATTTATTATGTTAAGATCTTAAACCCTAACCACAATTGGAACAAATCTCCAAGCATAACTCAAAGGAGAAGCATATGCATTTTTCTACCAACCAACAAGTCATAAGTCATTACATCTTTGAATATTGCTTTGGGGTTGTCCAAACTAAAGAACTCCAAAGAAATGGGATAAAACAGACAAAAATGGCATAAAACCAAGATCTAAGAATCGAATTTAGGAGGTAATCTTTATGAAAATCTCCATTCCCTCCTTTTTATTCCTCTCCGATCGATCCAAGTTCTAAAGAAGAAATTGTGTTCTTATTTTCTGATTTTACAACTCCTACCCTCCAGCTTCACATTTTTGGCAAAAATGGTCCCTTCTTCCAATATGTGTTACTTTTCTTTGAGGATGGACATACTAAGTCCCTCTCCATCCATTATGTAACTTTTGTAGTCTATCCCATTAACTGAGTCAACCACTTTGGTTAACTCACTTTTATAACTTGACACTTTTGGTCCTTTAACGTTTAAAATGTTATTATTTTTATTTCTAAATTTCTAAACTTCATATCAACTAATGATATGACTATCCCATAATAATTTATTTATATAAGCATCTTTAATTTATTTACTTTATTAATTTAAGAACCGGATCTTAAATTTTAGGATGTTATATATTGGTTCCAATTTTAAAGTGTATTGCTATTATTGGTTCCATACCAAAACTATAATTTATTCTAAAAATGAACTATTATAAAAAAAAATGAACTCTTACATCAAAGGTTAGGATTATGTACATGTTATCTCAATAAACAATTGGATTGTATTGGTGGAAAGCCATAAAAAGCTCGAGTTCAACATATTTGCAAATGATAAACGCTTAAAATATCAACTCTTTATTGTATTTGTTTAGGAATTGAC